ACTGTTTACAATTCAGAAACCACATTAACATCAAAGCTATGGGCTGTTTGGGACACTCCTCTTTCTCTCTCTCCTTTTTTGAAAATTCCTCTGAATTTTTCTGTCCCCTCCTGGTTTCTCTCTCATCTCATATATTTCACTTTCCCACTTCACCTCCACATCAAAAACAGACTTCACTTGGAGAAAAAGGGTTAAAATTGTCAAGTCTATTGTAGGAAAGTGGCTGTTAACTTGACATAAAATATGTTAATTGTAGATTTCATAGAATCACAGAATCATAGCACCATTTATGTTAGAAGGAACCTTGAAGATCATGTAGCTCCAACTCCCATGCAATAGGCAGGGACAGCTCCCACTGGACCAGGTCCCTTGTTTTTTCTTTAAATTTGAGAGAAATATATAAATTACTCAGATCCAAACTTTTGTGCATACTGTTTAAGGGAGACAGGGTTCAGGATCTGTGAGCCTCTGTGTTCTGTTTTTCATAGACCAAAGAACAAAATTATTTACTCAAATTCCACTGCAGTAAAACTGCATAGTCTAACAAATATCTTAATTGATCTCCAGGAAAAAAAAAAAAAAAAAAGTGATGGCACTTTAATATAAACCAAGTGTTTTCAATGGCAGATTTCAAATGCTGAGGGATTGAGATTGGTGCATTGGTCTTGTTCTTTTCCGTTAGTAGATTTGCATATAGTGTTGCAGCTCTCCCACAGGGAGGGAAGGGATGCTGGAATCCTGTAGTTTCAATGCCACTGCTGTATTCTGACACTAAAAGATGCAAAAGTACTAAAGATGGAGGTTATTTTTGTTATTGCTGAGTTTTATTGATTCTTGCATCTTCCTTGCACTCTCACCTGCCTTTAGCAAAATGGGAAGCAGAACAGTGGCTGTAAAAGCTGGAAGTAATGGATATGTCCTTTAGATAGAGTGATGTTTGGTTGGACTTTTGCCCCCCCCAATCCTGAAGGATCGTCATTTGCTTCATAATGGCCTGACGTACTTCACAGGGTAGGGCTGTGCAAAGCTAATCTCACTTCACCTTGAGGAGTGGCAGCATGGTCCACCAAAATGAGAAGTGTGAGATACTGCATCTTCAGCTGAGTCACCAACCCTAGTGGTAGGTGTTGCAGTAACATATCTGCTGTGAGCACTACAGAACAAGTTCAGAAACACCATTTCTTTTTTGGGTGCTTGAGAGACGTGTGTTGGTATTAGAAAGGCCATAGGAGTGAACATTTGTGAGAGTGCTATCCTTTGAACACAGAAGGATTGTTGAGTAAAGAAATAAGGAAAACTGCATATTGAAAGGATCAATAACGTTTATAAAACCAGTGTTATTTTCAGTTCTTGCTGATATAATATGAAGAAGTCAGCTTGACATTGTATTTTGTTGGAAGTGCCTTTATGAATCTTCTGCCCTCAAAATTACCCTTATGGTAGAATCAATGTCAATAGTAAAGGTGTAGTGATATTTTCTTGGCTGACATTTCAATATCTGCCTTGGCAGACATATCTACTCCATTCTGTATCTCAAAAAGTATGGTGATGCTTCCAAGGGGAATTTGAGTGTCCTTGATTTGATGTTTCTCCTAAATTTTGATTTGGTTAAAAATTTTCATTTCCTTTCAAAAGATGTGTTATTCTTCATTTCTATTCCTAACATAGTGCAAAGTTTACATGATGCTACATAAGCAGTTATATTTCATACTAGAAGTAGCTGAGCTCTTGAATCCCATTGGGTGGAAACTATTATATAAGGTGATATTTTCTCAATAAAACTTTAAACAGAATAATAGCAATAATTGATAAAAATAATAGCAAATGTTCATATTTAGCAGTTTGTACCATATTACCTCTCATTAAAAGGATAAATGTAAGAGTAGAGAAGCTCTGAAAATTTAGAAAGGATTTTTCTCATGTGGTCAGAATTTGGAGTGACTTTTTCTGATGCACAGAAGATAATGCTGTCCATCTGTGTTTGATGCATGTAAAGTGATATCAGTGATGATGCTGCTATAGCTAAGGACACAGTTTCTTAGCTTCATTGCCACTATTTTTCTATCCTATGTCTTCGAGCAGTACTGGAAGGTACGAACAGTAGTGTGCTGGAGACTTCTGCAGTGAGCAGCTTCTCTTGCTGCTCTCACTGTACATTTGATGTAAGAAGGAAAAGTGAATATATGATGGCCAAAATTTTTTTTCAATATTTGCAAGAATGTAAATTAAAAAACAAAATCTGTTGAGAAAAAAAAAGGAAAATGTCTAGTGATGGTAGAATGTTGGTTTGGTTGCATCTTCAGCAGAAGTAATCCAGTGCATGTGGACTACCACACAAACAGAAACTGTACTAGTAATTATGACATTACTATTCCTGATGATGCAGTTAAGTGATATTATATGATGCCCTCCCCTCATATCTCATACAGCTGCATGCTAAAGAGATGGTCCCAACAGAATGAAATGGAGCAGCTAAAAATGTGGCAGGGTTACACCTTTATCCTGGGCAGCTTCAGCAGGTTTGCAAATAGTTACATCCAGTCTTTCTATTAACTATGAACTTATTCCAGAATTATTCTAGAATTTTAACATTACCTTGTCAGCCCAAACACCCTCACTGGTGGAAGATGATAATGACTGAGTAGAAGATAGGATCAATATATCAACAGAGCAGCAAAGGAGAGAACAGAAGGCTGTGTAAGTGTACTAAGATCAAGAAGTAGGGATTGGAAGGTTAAATAGTGAAAAGCTTGAAGGCTTAAGACAACAAAGCTACATTTGATGTACTGCAGAAGTATACATACAAAGTATACTTTGTTCTGATCTTTTACATTTTTTCAGTGAGATGCTATTTACATAGACTGCTCTGAAAGTAATGCCTCCTAACTATTTCCATGGAAACAACAGCTGTTACAAGGAGCACAATTGCCTTATTTGATAGAGCATATTCTCAGCTACAAATCACTATTTTTCAACACAGCCATCACCACTAGCTATGTGTTTTTGCCAGTGATAAACAAGAGCCTGCATGTCACACTTGAAAAATCTGTGCTGGACGTGACCCTTTGTCGCCACTGGTGAAATGCACCACCCTGCACCACTCCTCACTGTACTCACTTCCACTGTGTGGAAGTGTTCAGAAAATGTCAGTGAATGTCAGTGGGTGCCATTTTTCCCACATGGAGGAATTAAATGGCATGCCTTTGCTTCATATGAATTTCTATGCCAGATGCCATTTTGTCAATCACATGGCTACAAAATTTAATGGGATATTGATTGGAAAATTCAGTCTCTGCTGCCATTCCACCTGCATCCACCTGTGGTTTTGTGGAGCATCATAATAAAATGGGAGGTGTTACTTTCTGAGTAGCCCTCAAATGTTACTATTACTTGCCAATCTTTCCCCCCCCCCCCCCCCCTTTTTTTTTCCTTTAAAAAATAATATTTAAAAAAACATTAAAAAAAAAAAAAAAAAAACCAAAAACCAAAACAACCCACTGTTCTTTTGGATGTCAAGTTCATCTAGCTGCAGTTCAGAAATTTCAGAATGTTTTCAGCTAACAAACAGCAATTTCTTCATCTTCTCATCCAAAGGTGACACAGATGTTTGAAACCTCTATACTCACTGCACATATCAGAAACACTAAACATTTCATTTCCTTGATTCCTCTTCATTGCCATCAACTTTCTGGAAAATGTGGAAGCCGTGCATTTACCTCTTCAGACTCTCTGCCAAGTTCCCTTGAATTATATTTTTCTTCATTTTTGTCTCACACATTTATTACATGGTGACAAATGCAATTTTTTTCTGACACCACATAATAGATGTGTGAAACACACACACATGTTCTGGTAAGAGATTGCTCTTTATTTCCTGGCTCCAGTTGCAAAACATGAGTCAGGGTTAGAAAGGTTGTACTTGTGTCAGAGAAGTGTAATCTGCATCCTCAAACTCTTCTAGCTTTTACAGTAGTAGGGAAAATGGAAAATCTGGTTGTTCTATTTCTCTGCTTGCTATTTTCTTCTACCTGAGCACATCCTTCCTTCATTTTCTAATCACCATTTCCTTGTACTGTTTATGTTTATTCAGTTCAGAATTTGATGCTGTCATTAGCAGGAAAAACATCTCTCCTAAGCCAAGTATACCAGCACTCTGACTGAAGTAGGTGCATCATTTTTAGACAAAACATCCTCCTACTATTCTAGTTTTAATGCAAAGAAGAAACACTGCTAGCCATTTACTGTGAATTCCAAGCGGCATTTTCTCTGTATAGACTGCTATTGATGTTCTGCTGTATAATTATAGTTAATGACCAAACAACCTCTCTACAAGACTTTGGTGACGTTTGTGCCTTATTTATATATACTTGCATTAAGTGTTCTGTACACTTTTGCAGTGTGTAGGAGAGATAAGTGAAATACAAAATCTGATAGATTTTTATGAACTAAAGTGAAACAAGGTCCAAGTTACAAGTTAAAACAAAAGCAGGTAAACAGTGAAGTAAAAAAGAGAAAACTAAACACATCATCATTTCTTACTGGATCCAAACAGGCTTGGAGTTTAATGTGGCAAGCAGTTATTTTGCAGCTACCCATGGGTGATTGGAAGCAGCAGGAACTATGGTACTTCCATGTTAATCATAAACAGAGTTTTGAATTGATATTTTTGTTTCTAAAACATTTTATCCCACAGGGTCCTAGTAGTTGAGTGGCTCCTGCAATAGAATGACAAATAACTGTGTGACATGCTGTAAAAAATTTAGAAAATGAGAAAAACTATCCCATTTTCCAAACAGAGCAGAAACAACACTAATTTCATTAGGCAAGATGGAACAGACAATTAAACTGGGCACGCTTTTAATTTTGAAGCTAACCGGATAACTGATGCCTTTTGCAAATGTATCAACTATTGAAATTATTCCTTTAAACTGAAGCAAAACCACTGATTTTCCTTTCTAATATTAAAGCATTTACTTTACACAAAGTATAAGAAATGTTACCTGTTGCCTCCACCATTCCTTCTAGGATTACAACAATTTCTAGCTCCTCTTTGGGCAACTGGGCTTTGGAAATCTCCCAGAAAGGACTCTGCTGGTTAATTTCATGGCTGATGATCAGTGGTGAAACCAAAAAGAGACGATCATCCCCTGTGTAATAACCTACGTTGATATCTGTCTGGTTGAGCGGTATAAATTCCCCCTCCTTTGTCTGTTTGGATTTGATCAACTTGGCTCGTATTGATGCCTCTACAATGTGTGAATTCCTAAGGTCTCCTACTCGGAACATCAGACATAGCTTTCCGTCCCGCATGGAAATAACTGCATTTGTAGAAAAAACCAAGGTTTCTGCCCTCTTCTTGGGTTGGGATATTTTCACAAACATACAGCCAACCATGAAAGCGTTGACGATAGAACCTAAAACAGACTGAATTAAAAGAAGAACAATTCCCTCGGGACACTTGTCTGTGATGACCCGGTAACCATACCCAATGGTAGTTTCTGTCTCGATTGAGAATAAAAAGGCTGAGACAAACCCATTGAGGTTGCTGACGCATGGAGTCCACGTGCTGTCCCCTATATGATCCATATCTCCTCGCATGTAGGCAATTAGCCACCAGATCATTCCAAAGAAGAGCCAGGTCACTGTGTAAACCATGACAAAAATCAACAAGTTGAACCTCCACTTCAGATCAACTAAAGTAGTGAAGATGTCTGTCAAGTAACGGTAGGTCTCTCTGACATTCCCGTGGTGGACGTTGCATTTTCCATCTTTCCTAACATATCTCTGGATTTTTCTCTTGGCACATTCTTTGTTTAGATTTTTTGGCAGATCCTCTCTAGCTTGTTTGGGTAACTTTGGCTGATGAATAGTGACAGGGCTCTCTATGTCCTGCTCCATTGAGTCTTCTTCCAGTACGTTAGCTGCCATTGAAAGCAAACAAACAAGAAAAAGGCAGACATTATTTTTCTTATTATTTCCCAAAGTTAACACATAACTTCTTCCCATATTGCCAAAATGATATCACTATTAATAAATAAAATTATTGTCCTCATTATTTGCTCACCTATTACATGCATAATGCAGAAGTCAAATGATGTCAAGCATCCTCATTTTATTACTAACTAGAAATACTTTAAAAGCAAATGCTCTTTTTTCTTATCTATCAGGACATCCAATCTACACCCATATTTAAATTCTGCAGGATGTATTCAAATAAATCTTTCTATCCCTCTGTCCTCCTTTACAGTTTAATAAATGAATTTTTTTATGCACCAAGAAAGATCTTCTGGGAGATAGCTGATATAAATGAGGAAATGAGTTTGCTTGAGGGTTTCCGTGAAGATGAGCAGAGAAAATGAGCAATTGTTGAACTATTTTTTTCTCTGAATTGCATTGCTATGGGGAAAGTATTAAAGATGTTTCAGAGGTTTAAAAAAACAAACTTTTTTTTTTTTTTTTTTTTTTTTTTTTTTTTCAGAATGAGCCAGTCCTACTCCTGTTGAAGGAAAGGCAGAATTTCATGTAATATATACCAAATCCAATTCAAGTGCATTTCTACAGAAAATCGGTGTCTCGCTGATACTGAGACAGGGAACTGTGTGTCCTTCTCCCAGCAACGTAAAAGATACAGTGCTTCAGAACATGATTTCATTTGAATTTGTTATGCCTGTGGCCTTTAATTCAAGTGTTCCTTTCTAATGACATCATCCTACAGAGTGTTCCCTATTTAAGTGTCTTATATGAATATAAAAAACAGAAACAACAGTAACTGTCTTTTTTCCCTTTTGCTTCCCAGCCTCTTGAAATAAATAGCTTCATTAGTTTATGAGGTTTAGCTTATATACAAGAAAGCAGAAGAAGAGTGGCCTCCTCCAGGAAGCCAAGGACCTTGAAGAGGTCTAGAATAAGTCTGTCTTTTTATTGGAAAGCCTTCTGCACTCTGAGGCTTCTTTCTATCAGAATTTCTCTTGACTCCAAATTTTTTCATTTTTAGATCCTATCTGATCCAGTAGTCATGTCTCTGGCACTGCACAGGCTTAGGGTCTCCACTTGGCTGTCCTGGGCAATAGACTCAAACCCTTTCAATGACGAGGAGTGGCTGGGGATGTCCCAGACTGGAGAGAGGACTTGCAGAAGGGACTGCTCTGAATATGTAAGTACGGCTTGAGGAATGTTTTGGCCTTTCTCTCTCTCAGCTGTGCGTATTATATGGCAGACTGTAGAATCTCACGGTATCTGTAGATTTTTCAAGACGTGCAGATTCATCTCTGCAGAGAAAGGGCTCTATAAAAGTGTCTTTAGGAGTGACTGAAACACCAAGAGAAAAAAATGGGTTGTAGAGTGGTTGTCTTACATCCTGTCCTGCTTCACTGACAGCCAAGCTTCTGTTCAGTCCCATAGCCTTTTCCACGTTAAAAGTAAGGCTCAAAGGCTGACAGTAGCGTGGAAACATGGAAGCAGTTCTATATTTTAAACACTACACTCCACCCTGTGTCAATTTTTTAGTTTGCTACTGTGTCTTGGGAGCATTATTCAGGCTGATTGTAGTGGCAGCACTTAAAATCGTGTCCCAGACCAGTCAGTTCAGGATGAACTTATCCCAGTTGGTGACAGTGTGCCTACTTGGATTATCACTAATGCTATATAATGTATGACAAAATAAACACAAGAAAAAGGCCTTAAAGGAACCTTGTGAGACAGACTAAAGAAAAAGGCAGAAAATTTGAAGTTAGGGCTTCACGCTTTATGCTTAACTCCAATGTGCCTAAGGATATTTCAGTCCAGAGGAACTATCACACTGCTGCAGTAACAGACCCCTCAGATACTCATGAACAGTCTACAAAAGCTCTGGCTCCTAAGAATTTAATGCAATGTATGTTAGGTGAGCAATGCTGGTTCAATGTGTTTCATTATATTTAATGCATTGTGAATGTTAGTCTTTCCCTTCCCTGCTAGAGCACAAAGATAGGATGCAGGTGTTCCCTGTTGCATTTCAGAATATATCTGCTGCTAAAGGCAGCCATGCCCCAGGCCTTCTCACTGGAACATCTCTTACCAGAAAGTGCGAGGCTTATTAAAAACCTTAACAGGATGGGAAAGGGACACAGGCACTAATTTTATTAGTGTCATCAGGAGAAATCTGAAGGGAGGTAGCTATCCAGGGATAGCTACCTGTCATACAGTGCACCCATCTAGCCTGCTTTGTGTTTGTTTCTTACAGAAATACTCAATGGGAATGAAGCATGTTCTATTCATACAGCAAATTTTTAACAGAGCTTTCAAAACACTTTGTGCTGATGAAGCCCTTGTGCATCATAGCCAGCATTACTTGCCTTTTACAGTGCATGTACTGAGCCACAAGCAGAGCTAAGGGCCATGTTTTCTCAAGCAGCTATAGGTTTTGTAGCAGGAGCAAACTGCTGCTGTGTTCCCAGCACATGGTGGTGGGCTGGCTCTGTCACTGTAAGTGGTTTAACGTGTGAGAATTTTCCTCAGCCTTGGGAGGCGGCACCAGAGCTGGTTCCTGCGTGGATGTGGAAAAAGGCAGCTTTTAACAAGCAGATCCAATGGCTGCATTTAATCTAAGTCTCTTTCAGTATAGCACCTCACTAACACTTGCAGACATTGCAATCTCCCTGGAGGTATTTGGCCGTTTTGTCAACTCTTCAGGCTGTTTCCAGTGCTGTCATTTCTCAACTCCCAGGCAGTCTCAGAGAAGAAAAAATTCGGCAGATTTTGTATTTTTTTCTCTTATGCAAGAGAAAAAAATTTTACACTCTTCCTCGTCCAAATGCCCATATTATAAGACACCAAAAATACCAGTATGGGGAGATATCTAGATTAGAATTATTGCCCAAAACTCACTTGGGCTGAGCTCTCACTTTAGAGTGAACCCGTAGCTCCTGAAATAAGTGATCCAAGGACTCTGCATCTATGTGTTTCCATGGAAATGCTTGAGGAATAAGTTTTAAACACATGGCCAGATCCCTGTTCACCAGTGAGGCTGAGGAGCTGCCACATATTGATGGTGCTTTTTGCCACAAAATGCTTTGACTAATTATATTTTTACTTGATATCAACCCAATTAACTTATGTTGTTTATTTCATGCAATTTTCTTTTTGGTTATATAATGGCTGTCATGGTTCCAGGAACAGGGGAGTGAATAGCAGCTCTCTCACTTGTGAGCTATTTTTACTATCTCTGTTTTTCTTCATGACAAAAATACATACACATTATTAATTTGCACTGAAAAAAAAAGAAATCAGCAACATTTGAACATTTCCCCCTTTCTCAGTAAACATCATGTTTGCTTGAACGCGATGGTCAGGTGTGAATACCATGCCAATTTAGAACATTCTGTTCAAAATACTTGTTCCAATGAGACCTTCAGGCAAATACATAACACATGTATGGGATTTCTGTGACTAGCTTGATTTTCCATCAAATGACAGAAATGACTTCTCCAAAACAAGTCCCTGAATTTGTGTTTCATCATAGCCGTATGTACTGGCTATGTCAGCATATTAAATGTGCCCAGGTCTATTCTTTAGCATGGAAGTTAAATGGAAGGGTACAGCCCGCACTTGTACTGTGTATTCCCATTTGTTTTCAAAGCAGGATAGACTTATACAGTCTGTTCATTGGAAACAGACTATGTTCCATAATGACATAATGACACCTGTAATGTAGGCAGGAACTGTGTATACTCAGTTACGCAGTAGCCAAAACCATGGCAGAGGCTTTCCTTGGAATTTTACCACACTGGCAGCAGGGTGGTTGCCCTCAGGATCAAACATCTTATTTTCTAGTAAAAATGCAACCAATGATAGTGCTCCAGTCTTGTGAGTTTTAGGACAGATTTAGAAAGACACAATTCAGTGTCTCCAAGCACATATTTTTGTTTAGAGTCTGTGGAAAGACATGAATCAACAATAAACTATGAGCTGTGCTTCTGCTTTCATGACCTTAAGTAGTTGTGTACATAACAGGTTGTTATAGTCTCTAAGTCACCATTTTATAATCAAATATGTTTCTTTATATTTTGATAGTCCTTCAGAGATCTTGTCATGGTACTGTACAAGTACAAACCAAATGGAGGCATGCAAAGGACATACTACAAAATAATTTGGTGTTTTAACACAGAATACTGCAAATTGTAACTTGACCCTTTTTTAATAGAATCTGATGTAGGGAATTCAGCGAAAGTTTCACTACAATTTAGTAGGTTGATTTTCTCTTCTAACACAGTTGTGAAGGATTTGTGTGCAAATTTATTAAAATATGACTAATTTCAAAAAATTGGTTGTAACCTACTCATTGCTCTCATGGCATTTATCATACAAATACAAATGTTGTACAGATGTAGTTTTGACTGTCATTTCATAGAATTGTTAAGGTTGGAAATGACCTTTATGACCACTTAGCCCAACTGCCAGCTCATCCCACCATGCCCACTGCCCATGTCCCTCAGTACCACAACTACACGGTTCTTGAAAACCTCCGGGGACGGGGATTCCACCACCTCCCTGGGCAGCCTGTGCCAGTGCTTAACTGCAATTTCTGTCTGCAGGTTGTTCCCCACTTTCCCGTTAGGATGAGTGCAGCTTTTAGATTAAGCAGCTTTTAGATTAAGTAGATGTTTGCATGGGTAAGGTCCAACCCTGTCCTTTTGTGAACTCTCTTCAGCATTCACCATTTATTTGTTGTGATCATAAACTTTCCTGACACTGAACTCACTTATGGAATATTTGATAATGCCAGGTGGATATTTCTGTTCCCCACTACCTCTGGAAGGTTGTTGGTCTTTGACACCAGGGGAAGAAGTTATTGTACTGCACAGTACAAGAGATTTTCTGCAATGCTCAAGGTCCTTTTGTTTCTTTTCTTGTGTAAGATGCGAGGAGAAGTCAGACAGAGGAAGCAGACA